TCTATTTATTTTGTTGATTCCATAAATGATGAGCAATTTGCTTCCAGTCTTGTACGAATTCAGCATTTTGAATACTTTGACTTAAAGCCACTTCTGCTACTGTAGCAACCATAACTGTAGCTAAAAGTCCAAGGATAATGGCTACAAGGTTCCAATAAGTCTTTTGTTCTACTTAACACTTTACCCAAAATTTTCATTAATACATGTATTTCTGCACTTTGTACCCAGGGTCTGCTTAGATTAACAGGAAGCCAAACTCCCAATCAAGCCTTTAACAAGATAATAGACATATTTTTGTTATAAAGCATATGATTCAAACAAGTATACAGTTTACAGGAATGACAAGTCAGACTTTTGTTAGTCACAAATAACATTCGCCTTTTCTTCCAATGAACAATTTGTTAAAGTTTTCCATGAGGTCCCTAATCAATAATGTTGACTGTATCATTTTTTAATACTTTAGCATGTTCCCCCCTACATTTAGACCATTTCAGTTTTTCAGAAACAATTCGGTTATAACTCATACGAGGACATTCTTTCTCATTATTCTTCTGTTCTGTAGTCACATTTGTTTCCTTCTCATAAAAAGTAAAACATTCTAACAATACAAAACGCCTTGTGTCGTTTTCGCATTAATCCAATTATTCTACCTTGCCATCCTATTTTTATACATGGTTTCCTTTCCCCTAAACAGATAGGGAAGATATCAAATGCCAGAGTCAAATTAATTTCTTGTCCTTCTTCTTGAGGGAACTGTGGACCCTTATCACTCCAAGGCTTGGGCAGCCAAATGTTGTCATTCACAAAAACTGTCAGTCCCGTTCCCTTCCATTCTATTAATTGAAGTAAAGGTGGATAAAAAGTTCTGCCTGCTGTGCAGAAGTGAAGGAACTGGTAGTCACCCTTCCCGTGGGACCCCAATAAACCGCTTTTGCTTTTCTCCAGTCATCCACAAAAGAGGTATCTGCTCCTGTAATGGGGGTATTCAAGACAGTGTTAGAGATTGCATACGGTGTATGTTTTCAAAAAATCTCAAAGTTTAGATTGAGTGTAATGAATTGAAATAATCCCTTGAAATTCAGCAACTGCAATTTGCCATTGCTGTGTAAGTAAACTCGCTCTATGGGGCTCTGTTCCAATTCCTCTACACAATTTCATATAATCAAAACTATTACCAGTTTCTCTATAAGGTCTCATTGCTACTTGACAATCTTGATTTACGTTATTATAAACTAATATTCTAAGGAGACTTTCAGCTGCCATGGTATCACTAATCCATATTCCCTTGCTTCTTGTTGTTGTTGTTATGTGCCATGGAGTCGGTTCTGACCCATAGCTACCCTGTACAGGGTTTCCGAGGCTGTAAATCTTTACGGGAGCAGAAAGCCTCATCTTTCTCCCAAGGAACAGCTGGTAGTTTCGAACTGCTGACCCTGAGGTTCGCAGCCCTATTCGTAACCACTATGCTACCAGCTTCCCTTGCTTAGTGACCTCTAATGTACACTTTTCTATAGTAGACAATGTTTGTGAAGTGCCTCGAGACAAAGGCTCACTAGGGGCCATATTTTGCCCCACAGTTTGCAGTGGTTCCAAAATCAAATTAACTAAAGACCAGGAGGTCCAAATCTCAGCCGGAATATTTTCTCTTTGTCTATGGTGCCTTTTTAAGGAGCTCTGGTAGCGTAGTGGTTACGAATCAGGTTGCTAATCTCAGGGTCAGCAGTTTGAAACCACCAGCTGTTCTGCGGGAGAAAGATGAGGCTTTCTGCTTCGGTAAAGATTTACAGCCTGGGAAACCCTGTACAGGGCTGCTATGGGTTGGAACCAACTCCACCACACATAACAACAACAACAAATGATACCTTTAAAAAATTTTCTTTAATTGTGTTCCATGTTTGCAAATCAAAGGGGCCCTCATCGGGGGAACCAGGGACAGTATCGTTCTACAGTATTTATATTTACTGTCCCCCTGACCCATGGCCCTGCTGCGCCATGCCCTGCATTTGGTATCCCACCGAATTCTTCTTACTTACCTTTCAGGGTTCCCCTATGTCTGTTACTTACAATTTTAGTTTCTCTTTTGTCAAGAATCTTCTCTGGTCTCCGGCACCATTTGCAGGACCAGCCTGCAAGAGCGGGTCTCCGGAGGCAGTCGGGGAATGAAAACTTGAGATGGTCAGTCAAGAGTGACTTTATTAACTACAATACTACTTTAAATATAGTCTTAGGCGGGAGACATATCCAGACACCACAACAAAGCTCAGGTTTGTTATTACTAGATAATTCTTAGGCACACATGTTTTTTCATTTTAGATCATTCCCCCAGCCATCTGGTCAGTGTGTTTTGCTCCCATAATCTTTGGCATGCAAGGTTTTCCTTAATAGCAACAACAAAATACAGTGATAAAGCTGCAGCTTCATAAAACGTATGTCTTACAATGGAAATACTTGAAGGCATATGAAAATCCTCCATCTTCAATGGTTTTACAAGTTCAGAGAACCTTCTTTAGTAATAAACTTTAGAAATAGTTCTTTCATAGCCAGTGGTTATAGATAAAAAAATTTTTTTAAGCAAATGAATTTTAGTTTAAATAAGATACACTTTGACATAGGACCTATAACTTCTAAGGCATTTAAAAAAAAACAACACAGTGGGAAATTATGACTATAACTACTTGCACATTTAGTCCAGAAAAAATGTCCCTTGCCCCCAACCCTATACAATAAAATAGAAATCAGTATTGAATATAATAAAGCAGTAACATGTTCAAGTTGTGATCTTTTCTCTCTCTTTGCAAATTGTCATATATGTGGAGTTTGCTGTGAAGTCAAGGCGTTCCTTGCAGTACAAAAAGAGAACACTAAATATCGACATGTATAACATGTGGACATTTTTATTGGATATCTACTTTGAGAAAGACACTGCAAAAGTGTTTTATGTCTACTATTTTGTATTTAATCCCCTTCTCAACCCTAATTGATAGCCTAATTCATAGCCCATTTTACAGATTATTGTTGTTGTTAAATGCGATAAAGTCAGTTCCGATTTATGCGACCCTGTATAAGGTTTCCAAGGAACAGCTGGTGAGCTTGAATCACCAACCTTGTGGTTGAAACTGACCTTGTTGTTGTTGTTGTTAAGTGCCGTCGAGTCAGTTCTGACCCATAGCAACCCTGTACAGGGTTTTCGAGGGTGTAAATCTTTACGGGAGTAGAAGTAAATCTTTCTCCCGTGGAGCGGCTGATAGTTTCGAACCGCTGACCTTAAGGTTCGTAGCCCGATTTGCAACCACTACGCTACCAGGCTGCGAGCCTTGTAGTACAGCACATTAATCCGTAGTGCCACACCAGGACTCCATTTTACAGATTAGGGAACATGGATTTCCACAGTTTATTGGCAGCCAAGTGAATCTGTTGCATTGTTTCAATATTTAACCTACCCGCTGCTCCTTGGAAATCCTGTACAGGGTTGTTATGAGTCAGAATTGATGCGTGGACACATAACAATGACTTAATTCAGTCAGGTGTGGGCTGCTCGCTCGTGGTGTGAGAAACATGGATCTTGACAAACGCTCAAGTAATCTAGTCTGGACTCATTTGAATGAGAGTGAGGTTTTCTTTATTTGATTTTGCAAAATTGGGCACCCAACCCACTAGACACGGGCAGATGTGCCGCATGGCCAGTCCACAGTTTTATTCCCCTCTCTCAAAAAAGCCCCTTGTCCCGTTCCAGTTCCCCATTTACAATTCTACCCATGAATGTCCCATTTACCTCCCCCCAGAGTAGCCCGAATGGTGACCATGGTCTTAATGTCTGTTTTTATTTAAAGTTCCTAGTCCTAGAACAAGGAGCTCTGGTAGCATAGTGGTTACGAATCGGGCGGTCAGCAGTTCGAAACTACCAGCGGTTCCGCGGGAGAAAGATGAGGCTTTGTGCTCCCATAAAGATTTACAGCCTCGGAAACCCTGTGTAGGGTCGCTATGAGTAGGAACAGACTCCACAGCACTTAACAACAACAACAACAGTCCTAGAACAAGGAGCTCTGATAGTGTAGTGGTTGAGCTGGGCTGCTAATCTCAAGGTCAGCAGTTTGAAACTACCAGCTGTTCTGTGGGAGAACGATGAGGCTTTCTGCTCCCATAAAGATTTACAGCCTTGGAGACCCTATGCAGGGTCACTGTGAGTCAGAAATGACTTCACAGCACACAACTACCACCACAAAAGTCCTAGAACAGATTTCGTTCCTCCCTTCCCCCGATTCATCCTGCTTACATATCCCTGGGTGTGAATGAACAACCTATGTCTGCTCTCACAATCTCATGAGCCCTTTATTCCTGAAGGTGGACCATCTTGAGAATTTCTCACAATGGGAAATAGAAAAATACTTGAGGGACTTCAAAGGAACAGTGTTCTTTGAATTGCACAAAGATCTTATTTGCGCAAGCTGCAGAAACCCTGTGCTGTCACATTGATCCCTTTGGGATCATATTCCACCTTCCAGGGTGGCAAAATTATCTTGAAGTTCCAACATGATAACTCCTCCTCTGTTTTGGATACATGGGTTGGATTAGATTTCTTAATCACTTTTGTGCCATAGATCCCTTTGGTGGTGTGATGGATTACCCCTTCTTTTAAATGCATCACAAAAAAAAGTGAGACTTTTTATTAGAGGCGAGGGAACAGGAACACTATTGTCGTTTCAGAAAACCCTTACAGTAGTGCATCCCATAATACCTCCCCGTATCCTCCAAGCTCTTCTTTGAGGTCTACCGTTCTCTGAAGAAGGTAGGGGAATTATCTGAGAGATTGGTAGGTTTAGGAGCCTGGGAAGGCAGAGCGGAAATGCTTGAAAAATTTCCCAGGGGTCAATTGCTAGAAGTGTGTTGAAGTCCAATTTCTCTCAATTTTACCTCCTGCTCAACTCCGCCCACTTTCTAGACCCACCCCCTAGGCCCTGCCTCTCTAGATTCTGTCTCCTCCTCACTGCCAATCACCCTCTGGCCCCGCCCCCGGGCTCACACAACGTTGTCTGCGGCCTTCTGTTTGGACAGAGGAGCCACGGCTGCGGAAGAATGGATCGTGCAGCGGTTGGCTTCTCGGAGGAGCAGTTCCGGGAGGCCTGCGCCGAGCTCCAGCAACCTGCGCTGGCCGGGGCCAACTGGCAGTTGCTGGTTGACACTTTGGGCATCAGTATCTACCGGCTGCTGGACCAGGTAGCGGCCGGGGGCTGAAGCGCACCGGGGCAAATCACCTAGCGGGGAGGACGGAGCTGCAGACACAGAGGGGCCAGGGCTGGTTTGCTGGAGGGGCCGAAGCAGCGCTGCGAGGAGCGCGGGTCTCCCTGGCGGGAGCTGGGACACTATCCAAATTCAATCTCACCCTCGTGTCGTTGGCCCCACGGAGGAAGTGGTTTGTTAGTAGAGATTCGTAGAACCATGCACGAAGTCACTTACCTGCAGGGGACGTGGGTGCCAGTGGCGGTGGTGGGTAGACAGATTGAGAAAATCGACAGGACTTTCAGTGACAGAAGTTGGTGTGAGGGCTTGGCAAGAAAGGGCCTGCCGGGATCGCCAGTCATTTTAGTAACTGGCTTCTTTGATTGTCACCCCTTTCTTGTAAGTTCAACTTAATTTATTGGCTTTAATTTTATGGTTCAGGCAGCAAGATGAAAGGGGTAGGAAGAATTATTGGTTCCTTTCAAGTGAATTCCAACTCACGGTGATGTCAGTGTGTCAGAGTAGAGCTGTGCCCCACAGGGTTTTCAGTGGCTGAATTTTTGGAACTAGATCCCCAGACCTTTCTTCTTAAGCACTTTCTTCTGAGTGAATTCTGATCTCTAACTTTTGTGTTAGCAGCCAACTCTACTAATCATTTGTGCCACCAAGGGACCTGGAGTTGATAAGAGAATTTCAAGGCATTCCCCGAGGCTTTAGGAAGCCAGTGAAACACAGGATACCTGAGGTCTGTCACCCATGGTTTGTGCAATAGTAGCTGAATGTCAAGTAGGTTCAAAGGCACCTTCATGTAACATAAATGAAATTGAACTTTCCTGGCATTATAGACTTAGAGCCAGGCTGAGTCCTAATGCTCACCTGGCTTAACCTCACATTTCATGAATGGAAGAAGCAGGCCTAGAAGGATGAAACAATTCTCTACCTATCTAAACTGATGGCAGAGCTAAGATGTTATCTATGCAGTGCTTTTTTAAGCAGTTGCACTAGTGCCTTAGAGTTGATTCTGACTCATAGGGGACCCTGTAAGAGAGAGTCGAGTTACCCCATGGGGCAGTTTCCAAGGCTGTGATCTTTGTGGCAGAAGACTGCCCCCATCTTTTTCCCAAGGAATGACTGGAAGGTTTGAACTGTTGACCTTTGGCTACCAGCCAAGCACATAACCACAGTATCACCAGGGATCTTAATTGAACTTTTACCATTGTTACTGAGTATAATCGAGTCAGACTCATAGTGACCTGTATAGGGTTTCTGACTTGTGGCTGGTGGGTTTGAACCACCTACCTTGCAGTTAGCAGTCCAGTGCTTATCCTACAGTACCATACCAACTCCTAACTATAATTTTTTATTATTTTTGTTAAGTGCCATTGAGCCAGTTCCTACCCGTAACGACCCTGTATAAGGTTTCCGAGTAGCGGCTGGTGAGCTTGAACTGCCAACCTTGCAATTCAAACAGATTTTGCAGTCCATCGCATTAACCCACACTGCCACACCAGGAGTCCTTTAGCTTACATAAACTATAATATTTCATATACTAAATATGAAATGTCTTAATATTTTAAAACATCAAACATTTGCAAAGAATTTTCTCATATGTGAAACAAATGAAAATCCTGCTCTGCAGTTTTAGAGGCAATGAGGAATTCAAATTAAATTTGTCAATGCCTGTAAAACTCTTCGTGAATTATGTAAAACTCTCTCACAGACTCTTGGTGTGGTGTTGTAGGACCAGCACTGGATTGTGAACCACAAAGTCAGCTGTTCAAACACACCATCTGAAGTTCAAATACACACCTGTTCAAACACACACCTCAGAAGTCCTTCACAGGGTCGCTATGAACCAGACCCGACTCGATGGCACTTAACAACAACTCTGATGTACAGCAGTCCCCCACAACAAAGAATTATTGGGCCCAAAATTACAATAGTACTAAGAATGAGACACTGCTCCAAATAAATGAAGAGTACTGATATTATGCGGGTTAATGTGACTGAACTGCAAGATCGGAGGTTCAAAATCAACAGCCGCCCCTCGGAAACCCTATACAGGATCACTATGAGTCCGAACCAATTCCACGGCACGTAACAACAACAACTGATAATGAAAGGGCAAAAACACCCCGGCGCTGCTCATCAACCACACTGCACACCAGATGGCCTGTCTAGAGACTTTTATTCAGGATAAGGAAGAGGAAGGTGACCTCTGCCAGAGAGAGAAGGCAGGAGGCAGAAGAGAAGAGAGAGCCAACGGGAAGGGAGTGATCTTATATAGGTCATTGCTGGGGTAATTTAGCTCTGGCCTATCAAAAGCCATGTTGCCCTTTACACTATGTGCTCTTGTAGTTTAGGGCGGGGAAACAGAAACCTAGGATTACAAAATGGAGTTGAAGGGAGGGGAGAGGGAAGAACCCGGAAGGTACAGCCTAAAATGGCGGACCTGATACTGTAACAGATAATCTGAAGGTGAAAGAAATTTCTCTCTCGAGGCATACCTTTGGTTTTGGAGGCAGTCTCCCTCCTGTTACTCCTAGTTACTCCGTTTTGGTGGATAACAATTGAGTGATGTTTAGCTGAATTTGGGGAAGAGTCATTCCACAGTATATCCACAATATGGAGCCCTACTATAGATCTCTGCTGTTTCAGAAATGGTAATCTCCTGATGATGAGTATCAGGCTGGTGGTGGCCCTGTTTATACCTTCCCTTGAATATTTAGAAAACAAAGAACTTCAAGGAATCCTTTGATGTTTTCACTATTCCTTCTCAATTGGCAGAAAATGCAAATATGACCTCTTACCAACTTTCCATATTTGTTCTGCTCTGTATTATGAAAGGTTTGTTGTATTCATTTGTAAGTGTTTGAAGTAGCGCAGTCCAGAGTCCCAGTAACTGAGGTCTCTCTGCATTTGTGGTTTGGTCATGCTGGCAGTTATTCACTCTACAAACACTGAAGGCCTGCTATGTACCAGGATTATTGGGTATAACAACTTGAATAAGAAGCTCCAAGTCTAGGGTTGTTGTTATTGTTAGGTGCCATCAAGTTGGCTTGGACTCATAAGGACCCGGTGTGACAGAGGAGCACGGCCCTAGGCCTTCTTAGGCTACAATCTACAGGAGGAGACTGCCAGTCTTTCAGGCAGTAGCCAGTGCTGGCCCATTTTGCTGCCAGGGTTCCTTCAGCCTCGGGCTGGCAGAATCAGTTTCTAGTGTAATTTTAACAGACACCTTGATGGGAAGGTGGACATTTTTTAAACAACCTTATTTTGGCCAGGATGGCCAAACTTGGTCTCTCATACTTTGGACATATCATCAGGTGGGAACCTGGTCCCTGGAGAAAGGACATCATTCTTGGTAAAGTAGAGGGTCGGCATAGAAGAGGGAGACCCTCAAAGAGGTGGATTGTCACAGGGACGGCAGCAGTGGGCTCAAGCTTAACAGTGATTGTGAGGCTGGCTCAGGGCCTGGCCGTGTTTTGTTCTGCTGTGCATAAGGTCACCATGAATCTGAACCAACTAGATGGCATCTAACAACAAGAACACCAACATGCGGAAGGCAGACTGGTTTTAAACTTGTTGTTAGGTGCTGTTGAGGCAGTTCAGACTCACAGTAACCCCGTGTACAACAGAATGAAACACTGCCTGGTCCTGAAACTTCGCCACAATGATTGTTCTGTTTGAGCCCATTGTTCTGCCACTGTGCCCATCTTGGTGGGATCTTCCTCTTTTTTGCTGACCCTCTACTTGACCAAACTTGATGTCCTCTGGTAGGAACTGGTAATCCTGATAGTATGTCCAAAGTATAAGGGATGAAATCTCACCATAGTTGCTTCCAAGGAGCAGTGAATCTGACTGTACTTCATTCAAAACAGATTTGTTCATTCTTTGGACAGTCGATGGCATAGTCAATATTCTTCTCCAACACTATAAGTCAAATGCTTCCATTATTCTTGCCTTTTCCTTATTTATTGCCCAGCTTTCACATGTTGTTGTTGGTGGTGAGTGCCATCAAGTCAGTCCATTGCTTATGAGTTGATTTAAAATACCAGGGCTTGGGTCAAGTGCACTTTAGTCTTTAAGGTGACACCTTTGCTAGCTAGCATTTTAAAAAGTCTTTTGTAGCAGATTCACCTAATGCAATACTTCATTCAAGTTCTTGACTGTTGTTGTGAGCATTGGTTATGGTTCTAAGTAAAATAAAATCCTTGACAAGAGTCAAGTATTTTCTTCATTCATGATGCTGTTTCTTGGTCCAGTTGTGAGGATTTTTGTTTTCTTTGCATTGAGTTGTAATTCATACTGAAGGTCTTTTCTCTGATCTTCGTCAGCAAGTGCTTCATGTCCTCTTCGCTTTCAGGAAGCAAGGCTGTATCTGCATATCTCACCTTAATGAATCTTCCTCCAGTCCTGAGCCAAATAATCCAAGAAGTGTGCTCAGCAGTTTCTTGGATTAATTGCTCAGCACACAGATTGAATACATATGGTGAAAGATTACAACCCTCATGTACCCTTTTCCTGATTTTAAACCACACAGTATTCCCATGTTGTGTTCGAACCACCACCTCTGGTTGTAGGTACAGGTTCTGCATGAGCACAGTGAAGTAGTATTCTGGAATTACCATTCTTTGAAGTGGTGATTTATAATCCATAGTTGATGATCCACACAGTAAAATGCCTTTGTGTAGTCAATAAAACACAAGTAGTCATCTTTCTGGTATTCTCTGCTTTCAGTCAAGATCCATCTAAAGTCAGCAATGATATTCCTCATTCCAAGTCTTCTTCTTTAATCCAACTTGGATTTCTGGCAGCTTCTCGTTGATGTGTGACGGCAACCCGTATTGAATTATCTTCTGCAAAATTTCACTTGTGTGTGATATTAATATTTTTCCATAATTTACACATTCTGTTGGGCACAAATATGAATCTGTTTCAGTCAGCTGGCCAGGTATCTGTTTTCCAAAAGTCTTGGTATAGGCTAGTGAGAGCTT